GCAATTGCTTTTTGTTATAATTTTAACGATCTTTTTATTTTAGGATTTAATAGCTCTTATTGTGTGACAAGTTGAATTAAGTATAGTTTTAGCATTGCTGTTGGTATATAGTATTGGAATATTAGTATTAGCATAAGTTGTATCTCAGTGGAATCCCGATTTCTCGAACCTCCAGGGGAAATGAAAATTAGTTTGAGAAATCGGGAGTTCAAGAAATCGGGGGTGAAATTACCAGTGCAGCAAATCCAAGGGAAACAAGGTTTGGTTCAAGATATCAGGAGGTTCAAGAAATCGGTATTCCACTGTAATTAGTAAAAATAGTGCTCGTTCTAGATTGCTTATGAATGATTATTTGTATATTTAAGTTGGACACGGCTCAATGGAAGACCATATTTTATATGAAATTGATACCGTGTATAAATAAAGCTTAATATGTTTGTATGTATGTATGTATGTATGTATGTTTACTACAGCAGGAGAGTAAATTAAGAATGAAATCCGAGGAGTTGAAGGGTTCACACTTTAACTCCCACATGTGATAAACAGGCAACTTCTCCCTATAATACCCATACATTACCCAGCATACAGGTAATGAGAATAGTCAAACTCACCAGGTAGAAGTTGTCATGTTAATATACCTAATACTGTTCATTATTGTAACTTATTTTCAAGGAAATGCATAATTATATAGCAGCTAAAGGGGAAAATTGACCATCAGGCTCCGGTTGTTCAAAGGGCGGATAATGCTATCCAACGGATAAATCGCTATCCAGCGGATAAGTGTTACCAAAACGTACTGCGCTATCCACCGGATCAAGACTTATCCAGTGTATAGCATTATCCAGACTTCGAACAACTGGGGCTAGATCTAATTTCTTCTAACAGTATCACCCCTGACTCAAACATTAACATCATGAGAATAGCAGAAATGATCAACAACTACAAAAGCTCTTGATTGTTAACTAAATTCTCCTTGTCAGTACCTTAGGAAATGTATAGAGAACAGTATGGAGATTATGCAGGTCTACTGATGTTAGGCTGAAAAGGTCTTTAGGAATTGTATAGAGAACAGTATGGAGAATATGCAGACTGATGTTAGGCTGAAAAGGTCCTTAGGAATTGTATAGAGAACAGTATGGAGAATATGCATACTGACGTTAGGGTGAAAAGGTCCTTAGGAATTGTATAGAGAACTGTGGAGAATATACAGACTGATGTTAGGCTGAAAAGGTCCTTAGGAATTGTATAGAGAACAGTATGGAGAATATGCATATATATATACTGATGTTAGGCTGAAAAGGTCCTTAGGAAATGTATAGAGAACAGTAGGGAGAATATGCACACTGATGTTTTAGTTAAAAGGTTAAAGGGTTAACTAAGGTTTCTCACCATAAGCTTTGTGATTATGTCTCTGTTCATGATGAAATTTGCTGTGCAGCTGTCGGCAAGTATACATCACCAACAGTAAAACAGAGGTGACAAAAATTAGCTTGAAAGAGGTTGGAAGATCTTGGATGTCAGTCTCACTGAAAAAAAAAACAAAAACAAAAACAAAGAATGTAACAAGGTGTAAGAAAAAAAATGAATTATAACGAACAAGATGAACATTAAAAATAAAGATAAAAATTCTTCTGAGATAAGAGTTTCCTCAAAATCAATTTCACTTGTCTTACTCTTTGAATTATACCTGTAAGGGCCAAACTTGTTCTCTAGAACATTTAACTGTTACCCAACAAAGTCAAAACCAAAACCAAAAACACTTGTTGGGCAAAATTAATGTCATAAAAAGGAATTTAATGAATAAATAAGACATCAACTGACATGGTCTACTCCACAGAACAAGGATATCTTATATTCATAAAATAAACAGCTATGCGAAAGTGTTATTTACTTTTCACTTGGAAACAGACTGCAAAAGGAAAAATTTCTGTTTCTGCAGCTTTAGTGTGGACAAAGTACTACTCAGGGAATGGGGATGGGGATGGGCTGGGGACTGTCACAGAGGCTGTTATTGATTTCATCCCCGCTCCAAATCTCCTTGCCCTTCTACAGTCCCCAAAGTAATTTTAAACTCTCTGACCCAGTTCTCTCATCCCAAAAAGCCCTATAATGGTCCCAGCATAATAAAGAGTGGACATAAAATGAAAGATGGTGATTCTAACAGTCAATACAGAATACTTGTCACAAATGAAGCTTGTGCCTAGCCTGCACAACAATCGACATTCTGCAGCTCAGTTACAGAGCATCAGATCACAAATCCAAAAGTTTGAGGTTCACGAACAAAGTGTGATCTGATTTTTCTTCATCCCATACAATTTTCCTTTATGATCAGAGCATGGATTTCAAGAAAATTGATTATTTGGATGCCATTATACTCAGATCTAACGGTTCAAAAAGCCACACTACTCCAGCAAATTTAGAGAGATGGGCTGCTTGGAAATATGCTTTTCAAGGGCAATTAAAAGCTTGCAAAACACATAATTATATTGACTGCATTTCATTTTTGGTTTTCACCTCAAGGTTGTGCACTAAATTACAGGCATCTTTGCGGCAGATCAGAACACATCCATTCAAATCCTGCACCTAATGTGCTCATTTAAGTCAACTGAGAACTGACTTCTTCATGTCAATATATCAACGTGTACCACCCCCTACGCCTTCCACCTTCTTATTTATCATACCCCCTCCGCCCCCCTCTCCTCCGCGCCCCCCCCTCCCCGCCATCTTCCAAAAGTGAACCCAAGGAGTTGTGAGCAATATCCGGTGGCGAAATTAAATAAACTCGAAGCAAAAAGTTGATGTTAGGATGGAGGATTTAATATTAAAGAAAAGCTTGCCACAGGAGCTTAAATAGGAAAGCGACGCGAATTAAGCTCACATTAACGAAGGTGACATCGTGGCCTCAGTCGCGCAGCTAAATTAGAATCGAAAACAATATCCACGTCGACTCTTAGCTAAAAGCAAAAATAAACCTTTTAAATCGTTTTTCATGGATTAAGGTCAAAATTTTGATTTTTTCTGGCCTCGCACCCTCACAACATCGCGACAAAAATAGCAGCCTCGAACAGCACCTTGGCGCAAATGAACAACCGCACATTTGTTTACTACAGGCATTGTATTCTGTCAATGGCCCGGAACAATTTGAGTACTTGCAATGAAAACATGTATTCCGAATGAAAATTTTCTCACCTGTTTATCATCACTCATTGCAAATTTATGATATGAGCAATCCCTAAGACGTCCAAGAGAATTACACCGCGTACATACTGTTGGAGTCGTCACAGCGAATCAAGGATCTACCAACGGTTCCCGGGAGATCCCAGTCCCTCGCAACAATTTGATTTTTTATCATACCCACGCTTCTTTGGCGTCTTCTATGTTTGAGTTCTTTCCTCCGTTCTTTTCGTTTTTATTTTCATTATTCGGGATTTTCTTTTTCCAAATGCTCTTTCTTTAGCCCTTCTTCTAAGCAACAGCATTCGGCCAAAACCTTTTCCGATCCAAGGCACTCGGGGTCATAAGTATTTTAGAAGCCCTAGCTACTATGGGGTCACAGAAGCAAGGATGCCCCCATTTTTAATCCCGCTGACTGCTACATGCTGGGGAGCTGGATGAAAATTTTTTTTCGCTCACGGTGTGCAACTAAAATTTTCTTTAAAACGGTAAGATGTCGCACGAAATTAGAGGGTATTTGGCGTATTTCTTACTTGGATGGGAAACAAAACAAATGAACTCCAAACCTGTTTACCTTGCCCTGTATCAAAAAAATTACTACGTTCAGTTTCATAAGTTTTTTTATTTTCATGGCAAGGCTATTCAGATTTAGCGACGGAATGAAAACAATTTTTGAATCGAAGTAGTAAAAATAAGCTACTCAACTCGGGGAAACCCAACAAACATGTGATCCTTGGCTTTCATATTGATTATTAATATTAAAAGGTTTGAAATAGACAAAGGAACATCTTGTAAACGAGATCCCACAAATGTTCGCACAGATCTAGAGAGTGATTCAGAACTTTTCTGTTCCACGACTAATCAGTAAAATTACTATCAGCAAATAATAACGGAGAGCGAAACTCATACTACTGACTCGTTTATATTTTAATAACTTTAGTTTGTAAAGAAAATGCCAGACACTCTTCTAGGTATAATCCTCATTATGAGATCTGATCCAATGGGAAAACTCCCACCTTACCTCCACTACTACGATCTGTTAAGACCACGTTACCAGAATCTATCTGATATAACGTTCCATTTGATGTTAAAATTCAATCGAAGCCGAAGATGATCGCTTCAACTCAAAATGTAGGGTTCTGTCCTGGTGTACCGGTTCACAAGGGAATTACCATTGTTCTTTCTTTGTTTAGGAGTTATCGGTTAGCTATTGTGTATTGTTTGGTCTTTTGTATTGGCTCTTGTGAACCGGTACACGAGGACAGAACCAAATGTAGTCACATGAATGGCGTTGCATGGGATTCACTTTTACTACAACTTTTACCATTCATGAATAACATTTTACCATTCCTAAGAGACTCTCTAATACGATCTACATACATTCATACCTTCCATTGGCCCCAATTAAAAATTGTGTTGACATTTTTCTTACTGCGAAGATGATATTCATATTTGCATGAAACACACGCTCAACGTGTCAACTACTACATCTTGTCAACTACCACATCTTGTCACGCAATCCAGTGATCGTGGCTGAAGATAATCAAGACTTCCTTAAAATTTCACGTGTCAAACAAGCAAGAGTGTCCAAACTCGTGAATCGTCCTTAAAATATATTTCATCAACAAAACTTTGAAATTCCCTTTCCACCCGTTGTTTCAACGTAAAAAAGTAAGTTTACATTTAAACTGAGCTTGTGTGAGCGAAACTGATCATCGAGTCTTAAGAGAGTGTCTCTGTAAAAGCGGTCCGGTCAATTTTGCTCGAGACACAGATTTCCCTCATTTCTTGTGTGTTGTAAGACATTCATGTGCCTATACTAAAACCATAATCCGTTTGATCGGATCTCTTTATTTTTCAAAGTTTTACGGAAATTAAATTTCACGCGAGCGAAGGCCTGTCGT